AAAATACTACGATTACAAAATTTAAACAAATACATAGAAATCTTAAATGGAAAAAATGAAACCTTAAAATAATTTCATAAAAAAAATAACATTTTTATTAATACATAATCATTAATGAAATCGAAATCATAAACATCGTTTTAAGATAATCTTTCGCCTATGAATTCTGAGTTCGGTTGAACTAAACGTATTTTTTTCAAAGAAAATATGTTCTATGGGTATAAAAAAATTTGAGTTTACCATTTTAATTCGGAATGGAGGCTGAACTTTTTTGTATGATTATTTTATTACCATTATTTTGTTTAATTCCGCTACAATTAGGATGTGTACGCCAACACTTGAAAATTTACTACTATTGTTATTACCAGAAATTGTACTATCCTCCACATGAGTCATTAACCTTATTTTTTTTTATTTTCTTTATAAATTTTCAATTTATTTATTTATACTTTATTGTAGACAAAATTTACATTGTTATAATTTATATTAAATAAGGATATACAACAGACGAGCTTAATTCTGTAAGAGTTCTCTTCCAGCACACTTTGAGTGGAAAGTGAATTCATATTTCTTTGAAAAAACATTTACAATTTTACTGCTAAACTACTTAAAAGGGTTGTCAATTATTTCAAATTCACTCTGTATATTATAGTTACGAAAAATAACTAATAAATATTTAAATTACAACTACACATTATTTTTATCTGCAATACACTTGCGGTTTGCCTACCACACTTTGTATATCAAAAGGCCTAATATTGTAATAAAATAAATAAAGAGAAACCTGGTTAAATGAGTCCTGAATATAAGGGTGTTGCTTAATAACCTAAATAAGTAGAACACTTTATAAAAATACAAAAATTATGGTACATAACATAAAATCTTAAAATGTTAATATTACAGGCGTTCATAGGGTACAGTAACTGCTTACCATCAAATGAACAGTATATTTGTTTGCCACCTTAATGGTATAGGAAAAAAAATCTCAGTGCGAGGTAAGCACCGTGCTCACCCTGAAGAAGACTTCCGGATAAAGACAAAACAATTGTTGGAAACAACAACATAGTGAATTCATAAATTATCGTTATACATACATATATACATATAATATGTGTGTGTATCTATATATGTAATTAAACACAGATATACTTGTAGAATTTAAAATCTAAATGTGAGAAATTTAGATTTTTACCCCGATGTTAACCTTACTCCCTCCAAGAGTAGCGGCTCGAAACAAAAAGTCAAAAGAAAACAACTCCCTCTAAATACAAATTAAGTACTTACAGAGAATTCTGTGTAATCATTTCTTTCCATGCAAACATTCTCTTTCCGTGCATTGATTTTAGTTATATAACCAAAAACAATATTTGTATGGGATTGACCCTATACCTACTTAAAAAATTATCAAAATCGGTGCACTACTGACAAAGATACCACGTAATGTAAACATAAAAAATACAGTCGATTTGAAAATCTCCTCTCTGGTTGAAAAGTACATAGAGATAAGTTGCAAGCAAATGGTAGTACAAAGTAATATAATAATTTTAAAATATTTATGCATTTTTAATTAAAAATATTACTAATAAGTTATCTATTGTACCAAGTGGTAATAATACGCATAACAATAATTGATAACCAGAATAACATTGTATTTTAGCTATGCCTAGTTTGATCTATTATATTATGAACCCTTATCATAAATAATATACGACATTCCGCGATAGATACTTGCATGGAAAAATACGTTTCAAAATAACGATACCAATTTTAATAAATATAACATTAGTAAAATGTATAAAGGAAGAATAAATAATAATGTTTAAATTAGTCTAAACAAATTTAAAAATTATTATTCATTCTATTTCCTATTTTTAATTTTCTTTCAATATATTAAAAAATAGGAATTAGAAATACGTGTCAAATTAGGATATTATTTTCATTAAAATCATAAATTACTAGAAAGTTTATTATAAACCATCAGTATCCACTAATTCCTTGTACGTAATAGTAAATACCTATGGATCGGAAGTGATTGTAATTTTCCTTTATACTTCAGCTTCAGACTCTATTCAGCTTCGATAATAATAATTAAGTCCTGATTACCATTAGACTACCAATAATTATAATTCATCAAACAAATGTAACTAAGAACTATCCCGATTGGGGGCAAAATTATTAATAATGTGGTCTAACACCTCCATTACTAGCAATATATCCTATCAGGTCGACCTCCACGGGATACCCTCTAAAAACCATCGTGGTTAAATTAATTGATCTGATTGAAGATAGAAGATCTTCACCTATAATTCCTCACTGGTGCCCCGCCAGCGTATCCTATAGCGCAAGCGGGTTTACTATTCCATTTTCATCCATTAATAATTAAAATTATTTTGGAAAAAAAACTACTTCAGTTGTGACAAAACCAGTTATTTTAATTTAAAAACTAAACTGATTTTTATAAAATTTCTATAAGACCAATATGTAAGTATATCCTTTCAGACGAAAAAAAAACGAACACAGCAAAAAAAAACGAGCAGAATTGAGAATCTCATTCTTTTTGAAGTAGTTTGAAAAACTATCCAGATTAAAGTAGCATTTACATACAAAAGGAAATTAAATTTATATAACCGTATGGGTAGTTGTCGCTACATACAGAAAAAAAAGAACAAATTTCAAACTTACAAGTATAAAAAAGTTCTATAAACATCAGGGTTTAAAGATAAATCATGCCCTTCCCGAGATTGGTTGTTTGTTTAAGCTGACTTCCGATTTCGTAATGCTTAGGTCACAATACATCGATTGTCCTTTAACGCATTATCAATAATTAAAAGTTTATAAATAATTATTTTTAAGATAAACTACAAATGTTGTTTAGTAGGTACTCACATATTATACTACTACCACATAATGTTGCACAATATCCTTTTATATTTTATTATTTTCTATCAAATTAATTAAGTTTGTTAATTTAACGATATTTTTATGTATATTTTGTGCATTATGTTCATCTGCATAAAAGCGGTTTTGATTATTTACTGTTATTGAAAGATCAAAGAAACTTCACTACTGGTAATTTCAACTAGGTAATAAATAAAATTATCTTAAAATAATAATATTACAAATGAATTTTCCTTTCATAGTTTTCCAGATGTCTCAAAAATTTATACAACAAATTATTCCAGCAATTTATTATGACTAAATTAAAATTATATCTAAGGGCGAAGTTGACAGACTCCGGAACCGGCATGCATACATAAGACAAGTTATGAGAAAGTTGACAATACCAGAGATGTATATAAAAATAGAGGTCATTGGCTCTCTATCATTTTTATCTACCCCATAAGGGACTAGGCGAGAAGATAATTAAAATAAACTTATATAAATGATGGCAATAATTATCTACTATATTTTAATGCTTGAATTTCAATCCAATGCTATAATTTTCATAACACATTAATAGGCTTTATTTCATATTATAAATAATATTCATTATATTGGTTTAATATTTTAATTATTATGCATGCGAGTAGTAATATAACTATGTGGTTAAAAATATTGTTTCCATAATTAAAATATTTTTAAATTTTATTAAGTATTTGCAAATAACATAAACAAATTTAATATATGGATAACAAAACATCGGTTTGTGTTACTTATTTATATTATCTACGCAATACCTAACCAAATCTAAGAAATATAGAATAGAACAAACTGGAATAAAATGGTTCATACCTACCTAATAAACATAAAAAAGATAATGAACTGTGTGAAAGATAATGTGGCCATAGTGGGAGTGACTGCTGAAATGACTGTGAATTGAGATGAATGGAAGAGGAAAATATAGTACACCGAGCCCAATAATTGGGATAAAGTAAGTAGACGGTTATAATTTAATACACACAATTTTCTTTACTAATAATAAATAATTCTTTACAAATTCCAACTTCTTCATCACTTGAACCCGCTAGATACTTATAGTACAACTTTACTTACTTATTTTTTTATTTTAGGTCCCAATCCTTAGGTATTTTAAATTTTACCAACATTATACCGTACTATTCAAATTGTTAACATCATGACAAACAAACTTTTATAATAGTTAATCTAATGTTTACTTTGAAAGTACTTTCATGATTTGATTTATATGTTGATAGCTTTCTAAATTTATTCAACAAGTATGATAAGTAGGGTTCGTATCATACATTGTAAAGCAATATGTGGCATGCAGTAGATGGATATCGTGTTAGAGTTACCACACCATCAACTGGTTTTCATAGTAGCTTAGATACTAATTTGCCCTTTTCATACTAGGCCTACACTCTGTTATTATATATTAAGTATATATTATGGTTTTAACTATATGTATTAGTATTAAGTATACCCCGCAAACATATACATATAAATTGGTTATATGTATGGCCTTATCTTTATTCATAGATAACATAAAACTAGGTATATTCTTAGAATTCAATAGGCATAAACTATGATGCCTCTTAAATATTAAGAAGTTCATTAATTAAAATTCTATCTAAAGTATACATCAAATATATAAATATTATAAGAAACAAAATAACATTTCACATGATTAATGGAAGCAGTATAGGCAACTAGGATGTAATTTATTTGCCCGTAGCAGGCGTTTTCGCAGTTATTAATTTTCTAGTAGTTTTATAGGCGACAAATTTTTTCTCGAATACACTTAATTAAAATAATATATTGCTTTTCATTATAGAAGACTTGAAATTTTATTTGACAAATTCATCATTATTCAACAAGCTCCAACATAACGAGGTTACATCAACTCAAGTGCCTACTCGCGTACTTACAGTATACGTGTACGAGTAGTTTCAACTTGTTTTGTTGCTATGCTATGTAACTTTCTAATATAATATACTCATAATCAAAATAATTTAAAAAGTAGCCACATTTTTATATCACATTAATAAATAAATGAACCACCCGCTTAGGTATGGAATTTAATTAACAAATATTAAACTTACCTTTAAATTCAGATCGCGACGTCCCTCCGTACCGTTAAAAATATTAACTTCACTTGCGATGCACTATTGAAGAAGTTAAGTTACTTCAAATAATAAAGATAAAAGCACCTTCTGAATTATTAATGAGTCGGCTAAAACCCGCGATAAATTTTTTAATGGTCATTCAAATTTTTTTTGCGTATAGTATTGTTTATTGATGGATTTCACGTGAGTGTCAAACGTAGTGTCGGGAGTGTAACTTGTGTCGCAGGTACACAGGCTGACGGCGGCAAGGCAGCGCGTGCACTGAGCAGCGAAATGAGTCGAGCTCGGCCCGTGGCCGGTGGCGCCGCAGCCGGCCGCCGCGAGACTCTGCCCCGCGCGGGCGCCGGACCTGTTCTTCGCAGCCTCCCGTACCACCAGTCCGCTGGCTTGCACCACGCTACATGCAACCTACGATGCACAGCAACCCACGACCCGCGATCATGAACAATAGATGCAGTCGCAGACCACACACGCGCTTACCATTCGCTTAGTTACAATTATCAACGTCACTTTTGACACTTATTAATGATATTGTTAAGACGACTAATAATATAGACACACTTCTTATTTAATAACGTACCTATGTTTTCGTTCCGATACTCACTTTAAACAAAATTTAAAAATTGATATGCGGTAGATATCTTTACCTGTACATTAAACATTATCTTTCTGATCTTAGAACATCACATTCGTAGCACAGCGCGGTACAGAAAGCTACGCGGTAAAAATGTACTCTTTACACTGAGCACATGAAACAGGCTTAAAAAATGTCAAATTGAACACATACCTACTAATGGGTGAAGCGTATATTCTTAGAATATATAAATTGTGACGAAAATGGACATAACACGAAACCCTAACATAATATTCATGAAACTGAAAACAACCATTTTTTCGAGGACTATGGCAGAAAATATTTTTTAGAAATTATATTCAGTTTGAATTTAAAGATTTCAATTATTAATATTATTTTGATGAGCATATTTCTGTTTCAAATATTACTATGTCATTGCTAGATTTCAATTTAATGATATTGGTATACTTTCCTTTATACTCTATAACCTAACATACCTTCATATATCGGATTACTATCTTCCCTTTGAATTACTTTGTTTTCTTTTATATGCAACTTAAAATTGCAAACAAGCTGTCGGCCCACTTAATGAAAAGTGGTAACCGTCGATTATAGACATGAACAGTACCATGGACATAACAGAGTATATTGATTCGCTCATGATACCCTCCATACGTAGCCATAACCGAGGGCTAAGGTGTTATGCCTCTGTACCCTGTAAATGCAATGTTCTGTCACTATTACCACATTGATTAAATTGTTGGTTCATCCTAACAGTTTTTCTGTTCTCTTTTCTTCAATGATATTTATTATTTATTATAATATTCATTAATGCATATAAAAACTCCAGGTAAAGCTTTGGAGTTTTTATATGCATTATTTTTAGAAATTATTTATTCATTAGAAAACTAAAGTTAGACGCAACATATTAGAATCCGGAATAAACAATCTGCAAAAGAAAAAATAAATTAAAAAAAAAAAATATTGCGAGCAATAAAACCCGAAGGACCAAGAAGCTAAATTGACCATATACCGGCTACGCAGGTCACGTTGAAGTAATTAAACAAATTCAAACGGCCTAAGCCGAGGGAACAGATATAAACTTTATCTTGGACGTTACACTTTGTGACGTGACTATCTACTAGATAACTAAAATATGTTTACGTCATCTGATAATAATATTATGATTCATTCCGGATTTCCGAAGTAGACTATTTACAATTGAAAGTAAACATACACAAGGATACGAATATTAATTAAAAAGATAACTAGTATATAAAAAAAATTCAACAAAATCTGGTTAAACCAATACTTCTAATTCAACTATGTCTAATTTACTACCTTTATTCTTATTTATAACTATATTTCGAACATGCCTACAGAATATTCGTTTTTCTCTCCTGCATTGAAATAGATATTTAGTTCAACATCTGTCGTAAAATGAATCATGGCATGACGATGACGATGATCAGACATGTCTGCAGAGGTGTAGGCAAAACAAAATTACTTCACGAACGCAGAAGTTATTGTACACTCATGAATTCACGAAACAAAGGAAATGGGCATTATCTATGTATATAGGTATTAGTATAAGATTACCTGCACCTTGATATAATTTTCTATCGATGATAGCGCGTGAGTCTGTCACAGCACAGCTGAAAATCCTAATCAATTTCGCTTTTCTACGGAACAGATAACGTATTTTACGTCATGCATGCTAATAAACACCGAGATACGAGTATATATTTACATCTAAATTAATGTAACGGTATTTTTATTTTGCTCTTATAAAAAAATAAGTTAATTATATCCATAATTTTTCTATTCATCATATGAACAGAAAAGCTAATACATAAATTTATTAATGAAATAGATATTGCACCATAAAAAAAATGTTCAATCGTGACTAAATTTGGTAGGTACTATTGATTTGTAATCTCACTATTCTTATTTTAAAACGAATGAAACGCACCAATAGAAGACGGGATGATTCATAGCATAGACGTAGTAGATATAAAGTACTCATAAACACATAAAAATAATAATAGAATTTAGAACGCGGAATCTTAAATCAAATCTAGAAGTGTAGATAAAAAGAGCAGGAGTTTGATTCACAAAAAGAACTGTCGTTACAAAAATTATATAAAACTAACTCGAGAGTACACCTTATCGATTGCAAAAAGAAATACTAAAATCGGTGTAGAATTCGTGAATACATCTAAATAACACGAATACAACTAATTAATAACTTCCTTTTAACTGTCGTTTAAAATATATGATAATTCATTTAATAATAATGGTGTGTAGAAAAATATTAAAAATATATGATAATATTAATTATGTAAGTATAAAGAGAAAAATAAAATTTCCATAAGTGATTTTTATTTCAATCTATACTTAAGTGCATAATTATACAAAGCATGATATCTAGTGATTTAACCTAACCTAGAATTAACCCAGTTTCCGGTTTTTGTTAGTTTTGTTTCTTTATTGTCGTCAACGTCCATTTATTTCGCACGATCATGTAAATAAAATAAATTACTCAACAATCTTGGATTAGTACCAACTATCCCGGAAATATATATAAATCTTCGGACTACAAGGATTATCTTAATGTAATAAGTATCATAAGAATACATCTTTGTCATAAAATTGTAATATTTAATACAAACAGTTGATTTCAGTTTTAATAAGCGAGATTTTACTTTGCTAAATAAAAGAGTGGCTTCAATCATGACAAAAATAATATGAGACCAATACGGGAGCAAATCCCATCGATTGCAATAAGATTTTTAATAATACTTAAAATGACAAACAAGTTAACGGCCTGCTTGATGTAGTGACTGTCGTGTACTATGACATGAATAACATTATGGATATCAAACAATATACTGTGATATTGTATTAAACAATATACTATGATGTAAGTACATCTCATGTGTGGCCATTCCTGAGGACTATAATTTTATGCTTCCATAGATACCCTATTTATTTATCAAAATTGGTTTAAATAAATAAAAACAATGAGAGAAACTGAAATTTTTAAATTACCTCCATTCAGAAATCAACCTAACCATCTTTAATGTATGAAATACTATACACTACTGCTACAAATAAATAAATATATTATTACTATTTACAGCATCATACGGGTCGATCAAAAAGAAGACCTCATTTACGTTACATTTCACCTATTAACTACTAAACTACAAACGTCGTTAATAAACCTAGTGATGTGCCGAAAATGAACAAGAGTTCTGATTAAAAAAGATAATAAAACAATAAAGAATCTGACGTGTACTGAAAATGTACCTACTTACTGCGTTCAATTTAGTTCAGATAATAATGTCTTTGTTAATCAGTTTTAAATAATGTTATGCAATAGTACCGCAATTGTTCTAGTTTTTATATTTTATTATAATTTTGTGTAATATTATGTAAAACTTATTCTTCATAGCAAATCATATCTACAATTCAATTAGATTATATACACATTCATGACATATTTCCAATTGATAAAATGTAGATACATGATAATGCAATAAGTTTAAATAACAAAGAATAAGTAATAATAGATTATGCAAGTGTAAAAAAAAAAATTGAATTAATCTCTGCAACTTTAAATTTTTTTATATATGTCAAATTTAGTAACCATCTAAATTACGGGCCATCTTAGTATCTAATTATAATGAACTTTCATTCACAATAAATTTTATTGATATCACCAATTATAGACAACAATAATAAAAACATAGTTACCCAATTATTAAATCAAAATTAGAAAAATTAATTTTGTTCTTTAGTAATTCTATCATCATATTTTCCAATAATATTACTTATATATCTAGTACAGTAATTACATTATGCGTCAATCAAAAATCAAATTCGATTCATCAATATTGATTTACACAAATTAATAAATACAAAAAATAACTATATTTTTTATAGCAATAAATACGCTATGTTTAACGCGGTGCCTATCTTAGTGCCCTCGCAGACTCGCAGTAAGTCCATGAGACTGCTATTTCATAATTTACGCTTTAGTTTCATACCTTATAAGTGACAGATTATTATCCTACATTATCGATTGACGTGATTAACTATAGCAAAGTGATAATGGTACAACAAATTACTGGCTATATAACAAGACAAACGTCAGATAGATCATAACCAGCAAATTACCTTTGTTGCTGATTAGACCTATCGACGTTTACCTGTTATTCGGTTCGTAGTTAAATCAACCACTCATAATATATATCTAATAATTCCTACATCGACAAATATGAAATACGATAATATATATTGTATAATACATAAAGACAAATAGACTAAACCTCTTATTCATAAAAATTAAAACCTTCTACAAACCTATTTTAACTATTACATTGTTTTGTCAATTTCTTTCAAATTGAGAATGCAACTTGAGAGAAAGAGATAAAACAGTTCAATAGCTAAAAAAAGTTTATGAGACATTTGACGTTTTTATGAATAACAGCGCAAGTTTAACAAGTGAAGCATCGAAATTCCTAAGATGGTTAGATTCGGACTGATTGACAGGATAATTATATGTGAAGAGGGTAGCAGTAGAAGAACTATATAAATTAGTTGGTTTAAGCAAACTAAAATTACTCGTTTTTATTTTGCCACGTGATTATTTAGTACGTATATGCGTGGTATTTGAACTTTGTCCACTTGATGATAAATTGAAAATCTGTTATTAATTTACTTTTTACAGGTTTCTAAGGCAAAAGTACGAC